TTAAGAAAAATATCTGAAATGTTTGTATTAAGTTGGGTACAATTTATTTATTTATTTTTTAGGAGGGGAGAGGTAGAGAGAAAGGGGAGAAAGAGAATCTTAAGCAGGCTCCATGCCTAGGGCAGAGCCTGACATGGGGCTTGATCTCATAACCCTGAGATCGTGACCTGAGCTAAAATCAAGAGTCAGATGCTTAACTGACTGAGCTTACCCAGGGGCCCCAAGTTGGGTACAATTTAATTGGAACTCAATGAAGTAATATATATGTTCAACAAATAATTTTAAAATTATTTGCCTGAAGAATGGAAAGTGGTCGTAGGTAGATATCTTTTAGAAAACTTAAAGGGTCATCTATTTCAATTCTCTATCAGAATCCTTGAGAGGATGCTTGAGAATCTCCATTTTCAGAAGCCGCTTAGGTGATTTTTATGCACTCTATAGTTTTAGAACTATTGCTGAACTCTTTGCCTATAGCTTGTAGGAAATTGGCTCTTTGCTTTTTTGATGGAAACTATTCTTCCTCCATTAGGGGGAAGAATAGGGGTAAGCTGGGGTACTATTCCTGATGACCTGCCATGCCCTATACTGTGGAAATTTTCAAAGCTTTCAGTGTCAGCCTTAGTTTCTACTTTAAGTTCTTTCTCAACTGGATCTCCTATGGTGAAGGAACAGATCATGTTAATGGTGATGCACAACCCAGTGGACTGTGACAGAAGGCTTTTATGTATTCCCTAAAATGTCAGTATTTCCTAGCAAGGTAGGAATTGCAGGTGAGGAGAAATACAGGAGAACTTAAGTGGTCTTCTGGGGCCAGGATTAAAACTGAGGTTAATTCTTTTAAAGACCAGATTTTGACATAAACTTCCTTTTTAGTGGTAAGAAAATGGGCTGTGGTTTCAGGTATGCTTGGGTTGGAAGTGTGCCCTATCACTTACTGGCTTTACTAGCAATTTTAATACTTCCCTAAACTTCAGTATCCCTATCTGAAAAGTAGGGTCAGTTAAATTCTAAGGTTTTTGGAGGGTTAATGATCTAATGCATGTTTTTAGAATGCTTCAGCATATTTTTAGTAGTTTTGATCCTGAATAGGCATTACAATAAATGATGACTATTATTTAGCAACTTAAGGCAAATATGCCTTATGGAGTTAATCAGTCACAGACTAAATGAGTTTGTCACATTATGAAGTATGTTTTTCTGTTCCGATGTGGCATGATAGCTAGAAACAAGGAAGATACAGCATGTATATGGAATTTGGGGGGGGCATGGGAAAACAATGTAGGCATCTTTTTTTTTTTCCCCTACCCATACCCTAATAAATTCTAAATTTGATTCTAGCCCAGGCTTTTCTTAAAGTTCCAGACTATTAATAGCTCTAGATTTTTACATTAAACTCCCTACAGGACATCTCCAATGGGTAATCCCATAATATGTCCTATTCTAACTTGGGCTCTTTGTCTTCCAGGTTTCCTTATATCAGTGCATGGGATTGCTATTTAACTTCATCCCCCACAAAATCTAATCTTTCACCAAATTCTTCTGACTGCTTGCCCATAAATGTTGTTCTTCCTTTTCTTCCCCATCTTTACCACTATCACTTTAGTCTAAGCTACTGTTGTCTCATACCTACCTTCTCCTCTGTACCTTTCTTACTCCTCACCATAATCCAGCCAAATTTGATAAATTTTCATGTATAATTTATTGTCATCCTGTATTTAAAACCCTGTAGTAATGTTGCCTTAATAATTTCTGCCCCATTTTGTTTCACTTATATTTCCTCTATAGTTGGCCCTTCTGCTTCTCTCCTAGAAATACGTGCTTTTCTCCTAATGTTTTTGGACCTTAGTACTTGTTATGCCTAGACTGACATTTCCCATACTTTGCAGATCTCATCTTAAATAGACTTTCTTTAGGTCTTTGCTGATTTCTGGGTAATTCAAGTCTCCTATTACAAAACTCAGGTCTCATCCTTTACCATATCTTTAATAGCATTTATCACTGTTTGCAGTTATGTATTTGCATTGTTATTGGATACTGTCTGATTTACTACGTAAAGTGTAAGTTTTGTGAGGGTTGAGAATTTCAGGGTTTACAAAGGCCTGGATTGGGCCTGACACCAGATGAAAACTAATAAATGACTGACTGAAATACATTGACTAGGCAATTAAAATACAAAGTGTTTAATTCTAAAGTGAGGTAAGTACAGATGGAGTCAGTGTTGGCATATTAAACATTGTTTTTGGGGAATACTTTAGTTATTATAGCATTTGTTTGACTCCTAATTTTACTTTTTCTATTACAAACATAGATAAGTAGTATTTTGAATTTTGAATTTCCCAGTGCAGATTAAGAGCTTCCAGAAGTTGATTGTACTTGAATGCACTTCAGAGTAAAACCTTTCCCCCTCACATCTGCACAGGATTTAAAGTTTACAATTCAAAAACATATAGCTGATTACATCCTTTTTGATGCTTAACATATGGAATATGTTCATATAAGTTAGTTGCCTAAGGCATAAAAATTGAAAAATACTAACAAAACTTACAAAAACAACTAATCATAGATATTTTTAGTAGGTGTCTCAACTTTTATAAAAATTTTAAAAAATCAAGAAGATTAATATAACATTAGAATTTGGAATTAAGCTTATATTTGCTTTCTGGTATTTGGACCTCAAGTTACTGTGTGACTATTATTGGCAGATTGAACTGTTATTGTGAAAACTCTTAAGACTTTAGTATATTCTTGAAAGTTGGTTTAGTGTTGTTGTTTACATTTTAAAATTAGTGCATTCAGTAAGATTTTGGTTTCCATCTCTGCTGAATTCTCCCTAGGAGTGCACAACTTCAAAAATAAAGAGGCACAGTCAGCAGAAAAAGAGGTGGTCTGAGCATTTATGTGTTAAATATGCATGTTAATTAGGAAAAAAATTAGAAAAATATGAAAACAGATGTTACATAAATTATTGCAGTCCCAGGGTAGCAGTAACTTATACATTGACAATAATTTTTGTATGTGCATGTGTATATCTATTTCTAGATTTCTCAATATTTATGCAATTCCATAGAGAATAACTAGAAAAAGAACTGGTATATCCTTTCAGTGAGACTATGGTAAACATTTTTTCTGCCTATAGATTACTGAAGAAATCTAGTTTCATAAAGTCTTACTGTATAGATAAACCCTCTGTGTTATCCAATTCTGCCTTGTAGCCTTTTTGGTTTTTCTGGTAGTATGCCAATGAGATATTTTATTGGATATATACTTTTGGAGCAAGAAAGTAAATTATGATCCAAACAATGTTGGAAATGTAAAATTGACCTGAGTGTAAAGTATGTATTTAGAAACAAAACAAATTATAACTTCTCAGTATATTGATTATATTGTTAGTTTTTCATGAAGAAATAGCCATCATTCTCTGAATGGTATGACACAGTTGTATGACAATATATTAACTGTTATATAAACGTGTATTTGTCAAATACACATATATTGGAATAGTTGAAAGATATTTGTCTTTCATTCTAAAGAGCCATCATAAAATAAAAATGGTCTGTGTTTTTACAAGGGAAAGATGAGAGTAGAGACTTACTTTATTTTAGTGGTATAGTAATTTTAAGCTTAACCATACAGAAAAAGCATGTGACTATAATATTGTCCAAGGAAGTGTTGACTATATTTAGGTATTTTTCACATGTATATTATGTAATTTAGAAATGAGTTGTTGGTAACTTTTCAGGTAAGACTATAAGTCAAAATAAGGAAATGATACATCAGAATATACTAAATCATTTTCTTTATCAAAGAAAACATGAATTGTATTCAATATAAGAGCATATAAGTTTCTGGAAATCTGCCTAGAGATCAATGCCACATTCATTCCTGTTCTTTAGAAATCATACCTTGATATTTGGTTTTAATAGCACATGATGCTAAATGGTGTGTTAAGTAATTTCTTTTGAATCTTAATATGTTTGTTATATGTTATATAATATTTCCCAGTTCTGTGTTACTGATTTATATTTCACATTATATTACCTAATTACTTTTGTCCTTTTGTACTTATACTGAGCCACCAATAAGTTCAAACAGGTTATGGGGGTAAATTATTATAGAATGAAATCTAGGGGAAAGTGATGGTAATATATGGTAACTTATTATTATTAAGAGGTTCTTTACTGGGCACCTGGGTAGCTCAGTAGTTGAGTGTCTGCCTTTGGTTCAAGTCATGATCCCAGGGTCCTGGGATCGAGTCTTGCATTGGGCTCCCCATGGGGAGCCTGCTTCTCCCTCCGCCTTTGTCTCTGCCTCTCTCTCTGTGTCTCTCATGAATAAATAAATGAATTCTTAAAAAAAAAAAAAAGAGGTTCTTTACCTAAATTAGATAGCTGTTTAAGAAATTCAGTTGTCATTCTTTCAGATTTCATACAGGTTATGTCAGATATGGTTTTTGGAAGAATACTAAAGGTGTTTTTCTTTTTCCCTATGCAGAAAAGCTATAGAAGTTAATTATAAATTCACAAATAATGTTTACTTGTTACACTGATACATTGTATTCTAATTTTACATTTTATTGATACTGTGGAATCCGTTTCAATGGAATTTTTTTCCATGTTTTCAAATATCTAATTTCCATTTTTTTAATTATTTAATACTTGGTATTTTACTATGTATTAGAATAATGTGTTCATTATTTGAATATTTTTATGTAATTTCAATGAAATGAACTTTAACGTGATTTGTTTTAGATTGAGGTGTTTTGATTTAAAAATTTTTATATTATAATGCCATTTATTCTAAGTATAATAAAATGACTTCCTTTCTTCCAGAAGTTAAAATAGATAATGGAAAAAGTGATTAAGGAGTAGATTAGCAGTTGTCTACTAAAAGCCCAAAATTATATGTCATAGATTTTTTTCAGCTTGCCTTTTGCTGGTTTGTTTTGGTTAGGGTTCTTTGTGGGATAGAAATGTTTCAAGCTATTTTATTTATTTTTCTAGGTATTTGGTGCTTTGCCAGAAGCAAACTCAGGTGATCTCTGTTTCTTCCTTCTTCTTTGCATCCTATTTGCCAGCCACAACTTGTATTTGGAGAACTTTGTTGTACCAACTCTGAAGTTATCTTTGACCTCTAACAAGAGCATGCGTTTTCAAGTGGCAGTTAGAATTGTGGATCATTAAAGGTCTCCTGAAAGGTAAGCATATATTTATTCAAAATGTACATTTGCAAATTGGATACCATCAATACCTGTCTTAGTCTGTTTGAGCTGCTCCAACAAAAATACCATAGACTTGGTGACTTATAAACAACAGATTTATTTCTCACAGTTCTGGAGACTGGGAAGTCCAAGATAAAGGTGCTAGTGATTGTTCATAGACTACTATCTTCTTAACGGCTCTTTACATAGTAGGAGGAATGAGAAAGTTCCCTGAAGTCTTTTCTTATAAGGGCACTTATCCCATTCATGAGGGCTCCACCCTCACAACTTAATCACCTCATAAGGGCCTCACTGGAATACCATTACCTTGGGATTTAAGATTTTAACATATGAGTTTTGAAGGGACAAAAACATTGATCTGTAACAATATGTTTATTATAGTAACATATCCTCTACAGAATAGATTCATGTACAAAAAAATGTGTGTATGTGAATGAGTGTTTTTTGACACTCAGGACACCCAGGAGGCTCACTTTGTGATACGTTTTTATATTTAGAAGTGTAATGCCTCTAGCTTTCTTCTTTCTCAAGGTTGCTTTGGCTATTTGGTATCTTTTGTGATTCCATACAAATTTTAGGATTGTATATTCTATTTCTATGAAAAATGCCATTGAACTTTTGATAGAAATTTAATTGAATCTGTAAATAGCTCTGAGTGGTATGGATATTTTAACATATTAATTCTTCTAAGCCCTGAGCAGAGTATCTGTGCCTTATTCAGTTTCTTTCATCAATGTCACATTATTCATTATACTAATATTCCACCTCCTGGTTAAATTTATTCGTAGGCATTTTATTCTTTTTGATGCAACTCTTAGTGGAGCTGTTCTCTTAATTTTGCTTTCTGACAGTGCATTGTTAGTTTATAGAAATACAGCCGATTTTTGTATATTGATTATGTATCTTGTAATTTTATTGAATTCATTTATTCTCACAGTTTCTTTTCTGAAGTCTTTAAGGTTTTGTATAGATAATACTTCTGCAAATACAGTTTTATTTCTTCCTTTCTGATGTGAATGCCTTTTATTTCTTTTGCTCCCCTGACTGTTCTCACCAGGTTTTCTAGTACTAGGTCAAATAAAAAAGATGAGATTGGCTCTTTGTATATAGGGAACATTACCTCATTCATCATAATTGCTCACTGCAAAAATAACTCTGATGAACCGTCCAAGTAAAAATAGTTAGGTCCTTACAAGGGGGAAGAAAAAAAAGGCAAGTTTTGGCAGTCTTGTTTTATTCCTGATCTTAGAAGAAAAGTTTTCAGCTTTCTACTATTTAGCATGATGTAAGCTGTGAATGTGTCATATACTGCCTTTATCATGTTGAGGTATATTCCTTCTGTACCCATTCTGTTGGCAGTTGTTATCAAAACGGAATGTTGAATTTTGTCAAATGCTTTTTCTGCATCTATTGAGATTATCATATGATTTTTATCCTTCATTTTATTAAGTGATGTGTAATGTTGAATGACTTACGGATGTTGAACCATCCTTGCTTCCCTTGAACAAATCTCAATTGATCATGGTGTATGATTCTTTTAAGATATTGTTGAATTCATTTCTGTTCAGTTTGTGGACAGTCTTACATTAATCTTTATCAGGGATATTGGCCTATAATTATCCTCTTATAGCATCCTTATTCAGTTTTGGTGTCAGCATAATGCTGGCCTCATAAAATGGCTTTGGAAATACAGTTAACTCTTACACAGTGTGGAGATTACAAGCACTGGCACCTCATGCAGTTGAAAAATCCATGCATAACTTGTGGCTCCCCAAACACTTAACTACTAATAGCCTACTATTGACTACAAGCCTTACCAATAACATAGTCAACTAAGACATGTTTTGTATATTTTATGTATTAGATACTATATATATATATATATATATATATATATATATTTTTTTTTAGATACTATATTCTTACAATGAACTAAGAGAAAAGATATTATTTTTTTTAAAGATTTTATTTATTTATTCATGAGAGACACACACAGAGAGAGAGGCAGAGACACAGGCAGACGGAGAAGCAGGCTCCCTGCAGGAAACCTGATGTGGGGCTCAATCCTGGAACTCCAGGATCATGCCCTGAGCCAAAGGCAGACGCTCAACCACTGAGCCACCCAGGCATCCTGAAAAGAAAATGTTATTAAGAAATGTCATTAAGAGAATCGTAAGGAAGATAAAATACATGTATAGTACATGTATATTTATAAAAAAATCCACATATAAGTGGATCCACACCAGTTCAAACCTGTGTTGTTTAAGGGTCAGCTGGATTGCTCTCGTCTTCTATTTTTTGGAAGAGTTTGAAAAGGACTGGCATTAATTATACTTTAAATGTTTAGTTGAATTCACCAGTTAAGCCATCTGATCCCAGACTTTTGTTTCTTGGGAGGTTTTTGATTTCTCATTCAATCTCCTTACCAGTGATTGGTCTGTTCAAATATTCTATTTCATATGATTCACTCTTGGTAAGTTGTATATTTCCAGGAATCTCTTCTATTGTCAAATTTGTTGATGTATAATTGTTCATAGGAGTCTCTTATCTTTGTATTTCTGTTGTAATGGCTCCTCTTTCATTTCTAATTTAATTTTTTGAGTCCTCTTGTTTTTGTATATCTAAAGTTTTGTCTATTTTGTTTTTATTTTTTTGGGAAAAAAAAAACAGTTCTTGGGGCACCTGGGTGGCTCAGTCAGTTGGGCATCCAACTCCTGTTTGTGGCTCTGGTGGTAATCTCTTGAATGGTGGCATAGAGCCCTGCATTGGGCTCCATGCTCAGCGGGAATTCTGAGGGAGGTTTTCTCCCTCTGCCCGTCTCCCTATTCACATGCACTTGTACACTGTCTCTTTCTGAATAAATATTTTGGTTTTTTAAAAACATTTTTATTTATTTATTTGAGACAGAGAGCAGGAGGGAGAGGGAAAGAGAATTTGAAGCAGACTCCAGTCTGAGTGTGGAACCTTATGTGGGGCTCGATCTCAGGACCCTGAGATCATGGTCTGAGCCAGAATGGATGCTTAACTGACTGAGCCATCCAGGCGCCCCTGAATAAATCTTTAAATTAAAAAAAAAAAAAAGAAAAGAAAAGAAAAAATAGCTTAGTTTTATTGGTATTTTCCTGTCATTTTAGTCACTATTTCATTCATTTTTGCTTTTTGTGGTTTTCTTTCTTCTAATTTTGTGCTTAGTTCTTTTTCTAGTTCCTTTAGGTGTACGATTAGGTTGTTTATTTGAGCTCTTTCCTTTTTCTTATTGTAAGCATTTATCACTATGCACTTCCCTCTGAGAATTGCTTTTGGGACGCCTGGGTGGCTCAGTGGTTGAATCCCTTTGGCTCAGGGCGTGATCTCGGAGTCCTGGGATTGAGTCCTGCATCAGGTTTCCTCCATGAAGCTTGCTTCTTCTCCCTCTTCTTGTGTCTTTGCCTCTCTCTCTCTCTCTCTCTCTCTCTCTCTCTCTCTCGGTCGCTCATAAATAAATAAAAATCTTAAAAAAAAAGAATTGCTTTTGCTGCATTTGATTAGAGATAAATTTTATCACCTTTTGACTTTTCTGTATATACCAACCTTTCTACAAGTTTTGTAGAAGTTTTGTAATCAAGTTTTGTAATCAGATAAAAATGGTTGCAATTTTAAAAATGATAAACATGTTAAATATGGTGGGAATGGGTACTAGAAGAGTCCACTTTGGGAAAGGATCTGAGTTATTGTAAGCTGATGTGTAGGACTTAAAAGTTAAAAATGTTTTAAACCAGGAATGGCTTGAGGGCATGCATCATCCTGCATATACAATTTACATAGAAAAAGCAAGAGAATAAAGAAATATATACTTTATTATAAAGGGATGATTTTTTAAAAAAGATTTTATTTATTTGAGAGAGAGAGAGAGATCTTGAGAGAGAGCACAAGCAGGAAGGAGAGGGAAAAGCAGACTCCCCATTGAGCAGGGAGCCCAATGCAGGACTTGATCCCAGGACCCTGAGATCATGACTTGAGCAGAGGGCAGTTGCTTAACCACCTGAGCCACCCAGGTGCCCTTAAAGGGACAGTTCTATCTAAGATTTATCCCCTCTTCAAATTTTAATATTTAACTATTTGTATCTGTGTTCTCACTATAGAAGAACCCAGTAAGTATTCTGGTGTTTCCCAGCAGTTACTCAGCTCTTTGCCCACATCATTTGACAGCTTGTAGTGAATATATATAGAGAGTAGTAGCATGGAGAAGACAAGAGAAATGGTGGCATGATTGAGATAGAAAACAAATTGTCTGATTCCATTTACTGCCCGAGTCAATCATGAACAAACATACAAGCCATCTAAAGTATGGTTTTTGAAACTGCAAAGGCAATCCAGTATTGGATAGGGAAATAAATTTAGTTATGGGAAGGAACATGTATTAAATGAAATACACAAAAAAATCGAATAGAGCATAGCACACATTCCCTTTAATTAGGGTACAAACTATTTCAACTTCTGTTTCTGTTTCATTGGTATATTTATACCTGTGGAAAATGGCTTATAAATGTAAAAATTTATTTCTTATAATGAGTAGTGATTAAAAAAGATGTGAATGCCTCCTATCTGAGATACCTTCAACTCTAAGTTCAATAATTCTAGCTTTAGTACTCCTTTAACAAATTCAACAAAGTAAGGGGGGGTGCCGAAGAGGAAGCGAGATATATGGATACAAAAAGCATTCTAGAGGGAAAGTGCTAAAAGTCTGCTGGCAGGAAAACGTTTTTAAGCCAACCCCACCGGACTCTTAAGGATCAGTTAAAAGAGAAGGAGAATAATTAGGAAAAGATTGGAAACTGGTGACTATGTATAAGTAGTAGAAAGTCACTGATCAAAGAACTCTGAGTAACTGTGTTAGAAAACAACATCATTCCCCAAAAAAAGCCTACAATCTAAATCTGGCAATATGTATAAACACTCACTCACAGGGTACCTGGGTGACTCAGTGGTTGAGCATC